ATAAAAAGAGTTTATGCACTACATGATGCCACTGTTGGTACCTTTGAAAAAAATCTAAATGTGACAGTGCCTAGTGGCTGTTTGAATTTGTTTTATAGGCTGCAAATTACTGCTGTACACATTTTATTTTTCAGTTGTTCCTGCTTGTTATTAGGATAACTGCACATTTTTGTTAAAGCTATAGCCTTCCAAATTCCAAGATAATAACAGGCATCATATCCTTTTGTAGGATTTGATTCCCTAGATAAAAAGAGACAACTGGAAATACCCATTGCTGTCAGCTTTTCCAAATGAAACATTTAATGAAACAGGCAGAATAAATGGAACAGTGTTAAATAATATCCCAGAAAGCCTTCTTATGCTTCAGTATGTTCTGCACTCTAGTTCATGGAAGACATTAAGTGTCCCATCTTCTTTTCAACTTAGTTTGCATGTAGATTAATGCATGTTGCACATGACTGAATATGAGTGAATGCATTTTTTGCTCTGAGATAAATTCAGAAGACTCCTTTTCAGCCTACCTGCTGCATTAATCTTTCATTTCTTAATGCACAAAGGGTAGAATAAGGATAATCATCGTTCCTAACTAACCCACCAGAAGGTATGTGTGAGGTGAAAAAGACATCTTATCAGTTTTAAACTCACTGTATACATTTGGCTTAGAAAAGCTAAGTCATAAATCTTTTTGAAGTTCAGAGACCAAAATATTTTGAACTTGTTGCTAGGACACAAAAGGTAAACTTGCATCCCCTGGGAAGAGTATTTATGTATGTCTGGGGTGGAAAAGAATGGCTCCATATAAATGATTTTTTAAAAATTATACTCCAAAGTTAGAGCTAAGAAAAAACTCTACACTTACTAGCAGATAATATTAGGAAAACAGTAATCATTCAGATATTAATATAGTAATATTAATATATTAATAATATCAATATATCTGAATAGCTACAAGGAGAAAATCTGGCTTCGTTGAAGAGTCAGTGAATACACAGAGGCCTAATTTGAGCATAGTGTTATATGCATAATTCTTCAGTTTATATCCTCTTTATGTTCTCTTCTCCTGCATGGAGATAGCGGAGAACAGCAATTGGCACTCCCTGGACTGAAACTTTCAACTAAAAAACAAGGCATAAGGAAGTATTGGGTCTGCCCTTGGGCTTGGGCTACAACAGCACTTCTCATCCCATTTTCAACATGTCCTTTTAATAAAGTAGTAACTGACAAAAGTGATACAATTTTACAATTATGTCTCAACATAATTTTTTTAATCTAATGTAACTTGCCTTTCCATGTATGTTTATCCTAGTGTTGAGTGGAGATTCGGTTTCTAAAATTGAGGTATATAGTTGCAATCCCTCAATAATGTATTCTAGCATAGTGGCATGGTAGAATGCACTTCTAAAGTTGAGTGACAAAATAGAGCAGGCATCCGCAACAAAACATTGCTGTGCATAGTGCTTCTGCTCAGGACTGTAGCCCTTTTATACCATTGCACTGTTCCTTTTCCCTGCTTCTTCCTTATTTTTACCCTAGCAATCAATTACATGCCATATCCACTGGTCATACTCTGTCCTCATCCAGCCTTGGGTGTTTGGGGAATTCTACCATTTGGGGTGGGGGTGAGGTATATGTACTTTTGGGCAATCCCATCTGTAATAAAAAACTGTTCTGCAGAACTCACTTTTCTCTGGGAGTATTTTGAAGTCTTCTCAGTGTGATCTGGAAATGATCTCTTCAGCCAGTGGGACACTTCACGTAGAACAACTCATGAGTTAAAGAAATAAATGGGAGAAAATGGTTGCTTGTTGCCATAGATGAACCTCAGAACTGTTCAGCCCCAAGCACCCCATTGTTCTGGATTAGTTCGTATAGCATCAACTTACGAATGAGCTGATCATAGGTTGCTGAATAAAAGCAGAAGTCATGGGCTCAATGGAGGCGGCATGGTCACTGTTTCCCATTCATGACAGTTCATGGGTAGTTTATGATTATCATTAGGTATGAACCAGGGGATTGAAGTGGTTCATTTCAGATCTTCTTCTTTTATTTTCCCTTTCTAACAACTGCATTCCATTGCTTCTCCCTTCTAGGTGTCAAGGTTAGTTTTCTTCCCCCTACTCCATCAATTAATATTCCATACTAGCATGTGCAATAAGCCAGGGGGTGATAGTTTTGCCAAAAAATGACAAAAACATCAACCACTGTGCACCCAACAGATAATTTGATTCAGTGCGGGTGGTCCACGCCTTCCTCATTACAACTCTGTAGGTCAAGTGTGTAAGACTGGTGCCAAGTCCCCAGTGTCTGTCACTGCTTTGCCACCCTTTTTATTTGTAGGTCTTTGCTATTTTTTTCTTTATTTCTGTTTGCTTGTTTGTCTTCTCTTTGAACTTGCATAAGTACAGGGGTACGCACTTCTGCACCTCCATGGGTCTGAAGTAGGAAGCCTCACCTGGCCAATTTCTTGGGTATAGAGTGCCTGAAGATCAAGTACAGCAAGTACCACGAACACTGACTTAGGTTCCAGAAAGATTTTTTGCTTTGGTATTTCTTTTCACTTTGCTTTCTCATGATATCTGCCAAATGGTGAACTGTCCAGAGAAAGAAAAGGCCTGAGAGACATATGTTCGTGAAAAGGGGGTGGTAAGATTAAAGCCACATCATAGAATGATTTACACCATTTCAAGATGTGGATCACTTGTGTTCTTATTGTTGCCCTGAATGTCCATTCCCCCGAGACTTCAGCTGCATCCTACCACCTTTTCCAGGCCCCTTTTAAAATGGAATGTTTCACAGGGCAGTGGGTTTTAATTGTCAAGGACACATGGCTATATATATCAGCTATGAGTAAAGCTCTGTGACAGCCATGGATTCTTAGGGTGGCTTGTTTAAAAAAAAAAAAAAAAAAAGGGCATTGTGAGTGGTAGCTGTCTGGGTCTAGATGGCCCAAGAACTAAGCATGACTGGTTACTCGGTGGGTTATCATAGGTCAGGTCACTGAATCTTGTTAGGAATGTACTGTTGTTCAAAAATTCATCTTGTCTATGTTTTGGTATTGTAAGGTGCCTTTTGTTCTATCATCTGCATTGATGGAAATGTATTCTTATGCTTTCATGCAAGTTCAAGTTGCACAAATGTGCATTTCTGAAATGCATAGATTTTTGACTAAATTTGAGTGAAATTGCATAAACTATATCTGCTCAACTTGGAAATATTCAGTATGCTCTAGAATGCATTGGTCAGATCCTTCAGAATCAGAACTAATTTAAGACTGTTACTGATTTCTCTGACATCCATATGAGGTTGTTTAGCGAGTTTTCCCAGTTACAGAGTTTTCTAAGGATGACTGTCCCTGAATTTTCTGATTCCTTTGTCTTTGTTCAAAGCTTCTCAGATACAGGCAGTTTTGAATTAGAAATAGAAGCAACGATGGGGTTTCAGTTCCTAAATGATATATTCTAGCATAAGACATAATGACAATGTCTTAAATATGACTGTTGAATTAGTATTGACTATTGATTGATGAAAAATGTACTTGTCCTTTGACTGTTTTATTACAAGTTGCTAGTAGCAGATTCTTAATTTTCTTTGAATGGTTTTCCTGTAAAAATAATCAAAATGATCTTATTTTAATATTTGAGCTCCTGGTAGACTTTCAGAGCATAGTTTTATTGCCCTCAGTGAAAGTACAAAAGTTTTGCAGGAAAAGGTTTGCTCTGCACTGAAACCAATTATATTTTGATAGCTTCAAATGTATGCAGGAAAATACCGTATAAATAGCAGAACAGGAAATTCCACTTGATCCAACACTAATTGTCATTTTTGGCTTCACTATAAGGCAGTGGCAGGCCTAGTGTATTTATCCATGGGTGAGTATGCTATCCTCCTCACATATAATACTGTGACTGAAGTGAAATATGTTGAACTGCCTATGTTTCCTCATATTAAGATAAATGCAAATGACATTGGGTATAAAACTGAAATATGCAAGCTTTGTCTGACTTTGAATGTTTTTGCTTTTTCTGTTTATGACATGTCACCATTTTAAAATGTACATTTACTACATATTTCCCATCTTCCAAAAATAGAATGCCTTTTGCTCTCATTCCTGTCCCTTATTTGGCTTCTCATACCACCACAGCTGACTGAATTGACTCATCCCATGGCTTTTTAACTCAGCTGCAATGTCTCTTTCTTCAGGGATCACATCCAGTTTTAGCCCACATTAAACTCTGGGGAAAATACATTCATAGATCCATAGTGTCATTCACTGGAATTTTATTGTGCTACATTACTTTAGCATAATTTTGTGCTTACAGTATTTATTATTCCAAATTATTAGTATCATCTGAAAACTTGCCCAGTTGCCCAGCCTGCCCAGTTTTCACTTCTATCATGAAATTCTTTATCATTGGCAGCAATACGTGTATCAGGATTTCAGAATTTATGAATTTGCTGCCTTTAGGAAAACTTTTACTCTTTTCATTACTGGTTTGTATCCCTTTCAGAATCTTCTAGATAAAAAAATTTAGCATTCCAGAGTTTCTAGAAATACTAAAATGTGGTGGCTCATGAATGCAAACCTTTCAAATTATAACATAGTTAATAGCGTAGGCCCTTTGGGTGTTGGTCTATAACTCCCATCTATCCCAGCCAGCAAGGCTAGTGGTCAGGGATGATGGAAGTTGCATGCCAGAAATATCTGAAGAACCAAAAATATCAACTATTGAGTTGCAACTATTTCTTCTTATTTCACAATGTTTGCTTAATCATGTTCAGTTACCCTCATCCATCCACAAACAATATCATAAAAATAGATTTTAGTCTGCTTATTGAGGATAGTAGTTTACAGTGCTTGTTCTGGTTGGAAGCAGATTTCAAACCATCTGTATTACTTTGTATGTTAACAGCGCTCATTTCTGTGAAAATCCGGCTACAGGCAAGCAGTTTTAGCTGTTATCATTAAATGTATATTTAAGATGCACATTGTATCATTCCAGCACCACACAGAATCTGCCAGCCCAACAGTGTTACCACCCTCATCTTTACCATTAGAATTGCTCAACAATGCTGTTGCTGGATTTAGTACTGTGGAGGAACTTATCAGGTACCTTGAGCCGGATAGATGGCAATTAGATTTGGAAGACCTGTACAGGCCAACTTGGCAGCTCCTGGGAAAAGCATACATTCATGGAAGAAAATCTAAAGGTAACCAGCTCCTCATCTTTCTCTCTCAAGCCTTCATTTATACAAATAATCATCTCCTCAAAGAGTTCATGGAATTAAATTTTCTTTCTATATATTTATTAAATGGAGAGGGCCATTACTTTGCCGTTATTTAAAGCATAATTATTTAACTGAATTTTGAAACAGTATGAACCATCTGGAACTATGTTACAATTTCCACAACTGCTGTTCATTCACAAACATTTATTGCAGCATATGGTAAGTATAATTTTTTTCAGTGAAACCAGAAAGCAGGTTCATCTTCACATCAGATACTGCTGGGGAGTACTGGTATCACCAAAATTGGCCTCAGCAAAATTAAAGGCATAACCTTTAATGTGCCCCAGTGAGAAGGAAAGAGAGCTGAAAATTAATATTTTGGAAGCCAGAAGTAAAAGTCCTCTGATCTGCGCAGTCCTTGTTTGCACGGCCTGCTCCTCATTTGATCTGTTATGGATGACAGCCACTAGTTTAACAGTGTTAGGTGGTGATGGTTCTTGTTGTTGTTGTTGTTATTATTATTATTAAAGGCTTGGGTCATGCCATAGAGAACACAGTGGTATACTCACATACCTGAGAGTAAAGTCATACCAAATTCAATAGTTCTGTTTCTGAGTAGAAAGGTAGGAGGTTGTGCTGTGAATGGAATGGAAGATTCTTCTGTTCTTAAACAAAATCAAAATTACATTGAATAGTGATTTTTTTTTCTTTGAGTGGTAAAGAAGGCGAGGTAGGATGACAGCTGCATTGAACCTTGAGGGCAGATTGTTCCACTGCTGCTCTTCTATCTTATCCAACACAATAATCATGTCATTCATGAAGGCAGGCAATTACGTTGCTGAATCAATAGGGTTAAAATTCATGTTAAAACCTGTTTCTTTGCCTTAATGCAATACTGGAAAAGAGATTTCTCTCAATTCCATTTACACTCAGATCTGCTTTAGCTACAGGATAGTGATAGCTGTAAGGCTTCCTGTGCTATCCTGCCACTATCTACTTAGAAGTAAATCTCACTTTGTCCAATGGGACTTTCTGCCAGGTAAGTGCAGATAGACTACAGCCTTAAGGTATTTGATATGATCAATAGTGATGCAGGTACTGTTCTTTCCCCTGCTTTTTTCACCAGCCGCAATTGACAATAACTGTGACTGTGCAAATAGAGTTAGATTTAAACTTGTATCTAGTGTCTTTGGAAAGTTGAAGTGATCATCTACCAAGAAGGCAAACTTTCTGAATGCAGTGTTATATATTTAACCTTATATGTGAAGTTTGTCTTACATCTTTGCTTACAACATGTCAACATAAACTAGAATACCCTATGCATGGAGGTAAGCAGGTTAAGATTTCAAATCTCTGTGAACCATATTATTAAACTGTGCACACAACTCTATCATTATTAGAGCATTGCTGTTTTGCATGTGTGCATAATATGCATGCATCTATATGAAAGGTTTACATACATTTGAGGCGGAGGCTTAAGATGACATCTATATTAAAGTAACTCCTGGAAAACAATGATTTCCTCCCACCAGCCTACCTACACTATCACAGTAGATCTTTAAAAGAATTCAAATTAGACACTGAACTAGTATTGCCATTGAATAAACATATCAAAGGATTGCCACATCCATCTTGAAAGGACCACCCTCAGACTGCATTACTGAGTAAGCAATGGAATAGCCTAAGGCAGAAAATGTGTCCTTTTGCAATGCCATCATTTAACTGTTGACATAAAGGCTTGTTACAGAAATGACATACTTGATTTTTTTTAAAATACCATGGAAGGGCCTAGTTTTAGTGTTGATTATGTAATTAAAAATACACCTTTCACTTCCAGGATTATACCTTAGATGATACATCCTTGGGAGGGCTTCCACAATAAAAGGGAGCCAAGGAATAATTTAAATTGCACCTACTTGTATATAGCTTTATAACAATTCTTGTTGACAGTAATATAAACAAAATCTGATTATTCTGAGATATCTGTGCGCCCATCTCTGTTTTGTATCTGTTGCAAATACTGAAGATTTTGGTGAATACTGTTGCCTGTGCAATGTAAAACTCAGGTTCCATACAACATCGAAAGCTATGGTCAGAAGAGTTATCCTAGTTTTAACAGAACAGTTGTTGGTCATTTAATAAGAAAGAACTGGGACTGGAGAGAAGAAATGTCCTTTCAGGCAATATACCTTCTTTGTATTATAGGCCAAATGTAATCTATGGATTTTGCAAGATAGTTTCCTGATTGTTGCTCAGACAGGATGTCTCAAATCACACCTTCCACCTACCCAGTGCCAGGTATAATGTAAACCTCGTAATTACTTTGTCTGCCTACCAGCCATCTGAGGTGAGGTATAATAAAAACATTTTAAAACTTCACATAAAGGATCTAACATAATGGCATGACCATGATACATCAAGCATAATATCTCTGCCATGAACAAGGTGGAATTAGCATCTGGTTAATGTTTTATCATTAAGCTCTCCCTGAAGGTCAGAACCATGAGCTTCTGAAATAACTGGTCACTTGTTTTGTTCTTTAACCAATACTTTAAATGTGAGAAGTGGCCCTTGGCATTTATTTTTATAATGGACATTTTCTCTTTGAAATGAAAGCAGAAATGAGTAAAGATGAGCTCCCCAACTTCATTGAAAAGGAATTACATAAAGATAATCAGAAAGTTCTGACCAAAAATGCAACTCTTTTTTCCTGTGATCTACAAAATCTAGTAGCAGCTATAATCCCACAAAAGAACAAAATCATCAGCATGCACTCCAAAGTTACACTTTTTAAGTATCAACTCCAATCTACAATAATTTCCCCTTATTTGAGTGCATTTGAATAATTAAAACATGCCAGTGTTACTAGCATATTTTCATTATGGCTTTTAAAGATGCATTCCACTTGGTTTTTAGTTATTCGTGTTTGTGTTTCTAGTAATTAGTATTTGTGAGAAACATTTTATTTGCAGCCACCCAGTGTGAGCATTCCCCTGTTTGGGTTGGATTTGGATTCAGGTAATAGCTCTGATTCATAGTTACTTTGCCACTGCAAACAACCCTGTACCTTTCAGAGGTTGCTCTAAAAAAAGTTCTTTAACTTCTGTGTCAAATTTGATGAATGAATAGAAACACAGTTCAAAGGGTGTTTAAATTTTCATATTATAATATGTTTCATAGCTCAGGTCACTTCATAGATCCATATAACCTTTTCATTAAGTGAACATTTTTAAAGAATGCACACACACACATGCATTTTCTCATCAAGTGTTATGTCCTACAATATGCTAAATCGTATTTTGGACAAGGCAGATACAGGAAAGAAGGGAGCGATGAAGGCAACTTTTCACTTCAAAGGCTTGATTATGCTAGCACTACGTGAAACTGCTGTCAGCTCATTCAAGTAAAGTATAGTATTATGGAAAGATCCGTGTGACAAGATCCTACTGTGCTTTGTCAAGTTGACAAAATCTAATTTTCTAAATACAGATAGTATTATGTAGAGTTTGTACAGAGATTCAGACTGTAAGGTTATTAAAATTTAAGAACAATGCAGACCCACTCCCAAATTGGCCACAACAAAGTCAACTCAAATAATCAAATTCAGACACAAGCTATAGAAGTATGTAGTATGTAACTTAGGGTCATCTTCCCCCATGCCCTGCATCCTGAGAGCACTCTGCATGGATAGGAAAGATGTTACCTTTTACCTACCAACCCTTTGTTTTTCTTAAATTTTCTTTCCCTGATCATCCTTCTTGTGTGGGCTGCATGCGATTTTTTAAAGGTCCTGGCAGAGAGGTGAGAATTTAGGAAAACAAATCCCTAGGAGGTAAAGACCAGGATATACAAGAACACGCATCGTACCAAGCCGTAGATACTTCTTCAGTCCTACCCATTTGAAGGTGCTTCCAGAGGTAATAGAATAGCTGTACTCTGAAACAAAACTTTCAGATGTAGATAATTCCTTCCTGTTGGCAAAGCAAATAATGAACTAGGCTGTACCACTGTATGGTCACTGGCCAACTATACTCCACAGCCTTCATTACCCAAAGAAAGTACAGACCCTGAACTCCCTTTCAAACTGGACCTCCCTTTCACCTGAACATTTTGAAAGGGGAGGAAGGTTCTTTCCTGATCTGAAAAGATGCAGTCAGTTAGACTCAGTAATTTTGATCCGCTCACCATAAATACTGCCTAACTACTGCATTCTGGAATGGTGGATTGTTATTTTCTGGTTTCTTAGAGTTAGAAAAACGAGTTATCACCAGCTTTGTAAGTGCTGCATGGACAGGGTTGGTACTGCCTCAAAACTGCATACCCTTCACCTCTGGCAAGTATTTATACTGACAAAATACAATGAATAAGTTATAGCATGTTTGCTTTTTAAAATTCTTCAGTTGTAGATCTGAATCTTCTAAAGGAGGAAGTTCGGATGTATAGCTGCACTCCACGCAACTACTCAGTATCACTGCGGGAGGAATTAAAGAGAACTGACACCATCTTTTGGCCACTTTGTCTGCTGGTTAAACGTTGTGGTGGAAACTGTGCTTGCTGCCAGCGTTCCTGTAGCGAGTGCCAGTGTGTCCCCACCAAGATCACCAAAAAATACCATGAGGTATGGTGCTTTTTAAAACATTTTTTAAATTCTGGCAATAAGAATTTAGAGGCTATCAGAACACCTTTATCAGGACGAAACAACATTCTTGTTATAACTGCTGAGATTTCAAGTTACTTCATATAGTGGACAGTTGGGGAAGTCTGAACAAGCTAACAATCAATGACATCTCCAGGTTTAGGGAGCCTCCAGGCAAGAAGATTTCAGTGTTTATCTCATATTGATCAGTAGCCCTTTTCGTAGCTCATCTCCATTGCTTCCAGCTGCTTGCATGCTTGGTAGGGAGGCTAAGCAAGTGGCAACCGCTGTTGTGGCTTACCCTTGCTGCTAACTTGTTTATCCCCTTTGGGCAGGGGATGGATAAGTATACAGGTGGCAACAGCAAGGAGTGGAAGGCAGTGTCCTCTGCCAGGGCACAGGCCAAGGGCCTTGATGGGTGCCCATCATGCTAACCTCTGGCACCAGCTCTGTGTTACTAGCTTATGTTTTATTCTTGTGACAGTGTTAAGGTGATAACAATGAATCACTGGCTGGCTAAACCACATTAAAATTATGCATATTTCAAGGAAGTGGCTTGCCTAGATGACTGCTGAAACAAAGAAGTAATGGAGGGGTCTCATTTTGGTGTTCTATGGGAGCTGCAGGTTTTCCTGCAGTAGGGCTTTTTCTATGGGCATGAAACAGTCTCAATCCATTTTGCAGGTCACTGGCAGCCCTGTTTTTAATAGATGAGGAGTGACTGCCCATGATGGACCACCATATAGTTATAGAATGAATTTCTGCAAGCCATGATAGGAAGCCATAAGGAAACCTAGTTTTGCTTCTAGGTCTAGGTAAACTTATTTTTGTGGCATTTTAAAAGATGATTGAATTTTCTCCTAACAGGTCCTGCAACTGAAGCCCAGGAGTGGTGTAAGAGGATTGCATAAATCTCTGACAGATGTACTGTTGGACCATCATGAGGAGTGTGACTGTGTGTGTAAAGGGAATACAGAAGGATAAAAGATGTGCTTCTTTCTTTTACAGCACATTCAAACCATGTCTGATTCTGTTCTGGGGCTTGTGCATTAATCTTCTGTAATCTCAGTTGCTTGTTTTGAGAATCTTCAGTCTTCAAGATTGACATTTCTGGGAGGGGGGAAGAGAAGAAATCAAACTGGGATTATAATTGCAATGCAACAGCACTGTTACCTGAAGTCCCCCACTATAAGGATGAGCAGAAGGCATCGATGAGGGATATTCTTTTTCTCCAAGTATATAGAAATATATAATATCATCTCTCTCACTCACCTTGAATTTTAAAGATTAAAGTTTAGGAGTATGGAAAAGACAATGCTCAAATGAATCCTGGACTCTTCTGGTGGTCTTGCTTCTACTGGTCTGTTACTTCTAGGTTACAGTTCAGAACATCTGGAATTTCTCACTTAACTCAACTTGGCAACTCCTGTATATTCTAAATCAAAGTGTTAATTCTCTTACAGACTGCCTTATTCTGAGTTAAAGTTAATTTTTCACTGATACAAGTAGAAAAAACTGGACACTTTTCCGTGGTTTCTTCTAGTAATGTTCTTGTTGTTTAGCAAAGCTGAATCGCTGGTATATGTGAGCAAAAAGGAAGAGATTGAAACCCATGGAGTGCCTTTATTCTTCTCACTATGGCCTGCAAATATTTCTGTTTGTTTATATTTTTATTGTGTACATTTTTATACTCAGTCTTTGACAGCATAACTATTTGCTTTTCTAATCTTGTTAAATATATCTATTTTTTACCAAAGGTATTTAATATTCTTTTTTAATTACAGCCTAGATAAACTACTTTTTAGTTGTGTAAGACTTTGGAGTCAGAGTTATAGAAAGAGGGAAAGAAGAATGGCTGCTTTACAAAGCACAGAGATAAATGGAGCATCTGCATACAAAAAATAAACCAGGGATGTGAAAATATTGGTCTGAATTCACAGCTCCATGATGCTGGTATATGAAGAGTCAGCGTAATAGCTATTAAAGCCTTCATAACGAGTGCCTCAATCCAGATAAAGAAGTCTGTATACAAAAACAGGCTTTAGCATGCAGAAGTAAGTCACTATTACTTGTTGGTTGAGGGACCACTGGTGTGGATCTGGTAAGCATCAAGAGATGCACTAGTGTGCAAATACTAAATGTCCACATTGCCTTGTTTTCGATTGGAGGCACGTTTGTACATAGGAGAGTACATCCCCATCTCCCTTCCAGTGAACTGCTAATGCATGAGTATTATACATATCATTTACTTGTGCATAGATAACATGATGGAGCAGGCGGTAGGTGTCTTTAAACAGTCATAAATCCAGCCTGGAGAGGCCCATTCTGTCCCACTGCTCAATTCTAGCACATTTATTCTGAACAAAATTCAACTGAGTACAGTGGGATTTGTTTTCTAATAAATATGTTTAGGATGCAGTCTTAGTTTATTGTTAAATTAACAAGTGAAAGATCTTAACATGCACATCAGCACCACTGATATTTCAGTGTGTTCTTGCCTCTAGAACACACAATGTGTTCATGGAAAAGGTGCACATATTTATTGCTACAGGTGTAAGGGTTTTTTATATTATTATTGATGGTTATTTCTTCATAAGGACAATGGGCTTTCAGTATTTTAATGATGTATAGTACAGTTTCATGAAATGTTTTTTTCTCTTATGTACAGACTATATGTAAACCAGTACATTTATCCCACCTTTTGCCATCTGGGGAAAAGCAGTAAAATATTTTGCTTGTAAAATGTTTTAACATGGTCTAGTGTGTTCTTCTGTGTTTCTGTTTACTGTCTGAATGTAAGTAATTTAACAATTCCACAAAGTAATTGCACTCGATAGGGGAGAGAGGCAATGTTAGCCATATCCATACATGACATATGGTTTGCATTTTAACAAACAAAGAATTGTATCCTAGATCATTTCTACAGTACACTGGTATCCGTGTCTGCTGCAGATTGCTGGATGAGGATACATGGCACATATCTGCTGCTGCTTTTATTGAAATTGTCCCTTCTTGCAGAAGTCTTTTAAACCATACTTAGTGAACTTCTTACAAATAAACATCAAGTACATTATCATTCCAAACCCTAACCAATATGCATGCACATCTTACCATACACAGAGGTAACCACCATGCCACAGAAGTCAGCTCAGGCTTTTGTGATTTACTGTGAGCTTTGCTTTTCCTGTCAGCTTTTCTAATTTACTGATGCATGTATCTGACTATGAATTTGGCATAGACTTTCACCTATTTGACCTGTGGCTTAGGTAAGTCATCAACATAAATATAAAATAAGTATATTTTATATTTTATTTATTTTATTTATTATACTTCTGTGCTGTCCTATAACCTGTGGTTCTCTGGGCAGCTTGCAAGATGCTAAACCAGCATATAAAAATGTAATCAGTAAAACTGATAAAAATAATAAAACAAATAAAAATAAAATGTTATACAAAGTGATACAGGATCAGGTAATAAAGGATCATGTATAAAACACAAACCAAGTACATCCAAATAATTAAAAACAAAATCCAGAACAAATTAGCTAAATGCCTGTTGGAACATGAAACTTTTTACCTGGTGCCTAAAAGAAAGCAAGGTTGGCACCAGGCCCTGGGCAGAGAATTCGAAAGACTGGGCATCACTGCAGAGAATGGCCCCCTCCTAGCATTTTCCCTCCCAGTATCATGAGGGTATATTTGGAGGAGGACTTCAGAAGAGGATCTATGTAGGCGGGTAGGCCTGTATGGAGTGAGGCGTTCCTTCAGGTACCCTGGTGCCCAGCTCTTTAGAGGTTTTTATGTCAACAGCAATGCTTTCAATTGGGCTCAGGCAGGAACAGAAAGCCAATGTAGCTGACAGAGGACTGGCGTAATGTGTTCTCGATGACCAGTCCTCATAGGTAGCTCTGCTGTCCTATTCTGTATTAGTTGTAGTATCCAGACAGTCTTCAAATGCAGCCCCATGTTCAGCACATTGCAGTAATCCAGGTCACTTTGCCCAGGAAGGGGATTTTGGCTATTGGTCTAGGGTTGTTCACATTACCCAGATCCAGGCCTTGCTTCTTTAGGAGTGGCATCACAGCTCCTTTTAAAGGGTCTGGCAGCAATCCATCTCTCAAAGACATGTTAACAGCCTCTTAGATGCAGGTACAAACCCCCTGCCTAGATCTCCCAGTAAGCCATGATGTGCAAGGGTCAAGCAGGCAGGTGGTGGGTCAGACTTGTCCAAGCACCATGTCCACGTCCTTGGGCCACAATAACAAACTGATCCAACAAATGGAACTGCGATAACTGTGGTGTCCCAGTCAGAGCGAATCTGGGCAATTTTGCAGCATTGTGCAAACTTGACACAGCAGGCTGCCAAGAATTCAGTAAAATATCTTTTGGGGCTAGACTGTAAAAGGGTCCAAACCATCCAGAACTGGATGGCACTCTGAGGACACTATTTAGATGGACTATAGAAGCCAGTTTCTTGAGCTGCTCATGCAATTGATCTTCCCTGCCCATTTGAGGACATTTCATATTCTGCAGCCCACACTGCTCACAAAGGTTCCCTGACCCCCCAGAGAAACTTTGGTGAAATTCAGGAGACTGTATGGAATAGGAGAAGAAATTATTGTGTCAGCAACTTTCCACTTACATAACTTTGAATCCAACCCGATAGTTTCCACTGCCTGGATGGCTATTCACTGAAATATTTGAGGATGTTTTAGAGAAAGGAATACATTACTTTTTAAAATGCAAAAATGTGTGCTACAGGTTTGTAAGTGGCATTGTGTTTGCCACAAGGGGCAGCAAATCTGCCCTCTGGCTTACGGACACGGGGGGAGCCTCCCAAGACAATCCTGTACTCCTGTTTATTCTGTTCCCTGCCTAAGGAACTTCAGCCTTAGAAGTAATGTATAATGCCCCAAACACACTCTGAGCTACAAGTTTTCTATTCAGTTCAATGGGATTTGCATTGAGGATTGCTTTGAGAACTTTGCTTTCATATTGCTTAAAAGCATTGCAACAAAGGGTGCAAAAGAGTCTTACCAACTCTGCCAAGAAAAGCACTGAGAAGGGATCAGGGTAGATATGCCGGTGCATGTGATTTAAGGATCCTTCAGTATGTCACAGTACATTTGAAAATGATCTGTCTGCAATCTCAAAGGTTCATATTGATATATCTGTGTGTCATATTGATATATCTGTAACATCACTGGAACATGGGACACAATTTCAAGCTTGGTGATTAATTTTAATGTCCTTTCTCATATACCCTATATTCTTGGTAAATATCTAAGATTCAGCTGGTTGTGTTGCTGTGGATATGCCATTTTAAAAATTAGAATTATGTTCCAAAGGAAATTGATTACTAATGAAAAACACTATGATGTACTCTCTTGAGATGGTGTGCAATATAAGTTTTGACATCCTTTGAATGAATTATACCTAGTGTTCCTGAAAAAAAGAGGTGTACATTTTGAAATGCACTTCTGGTTCTCATAATTTTCAGCCCATATCTGAATCCTCTCTGTGCATTCTGGGGCAGATAGTTTATAGTTGTAAGATTTTGCTGTCTGGAAAACATTGATGAAATCTCGTCCTGCATTCCCTTCCTGGAAGGTGGTTTTCGTGAGTTGGGAAAGGAGCATCCCAAGCTCATGTTGCCTCTTTGTGGCCTAGCCAAATAGCTTGGTGTGGGAGCCCTGGACTTAGCTAGTCCCTGCCAAGATCCCACTGACCTGGCTTCCACACAGTGGTGTGCTTTTTCTGCTGGGGCACTTGTGACTGTATTGTAGTCTGACATTTTGGTGCACCTGGGCCCAATATAACTGCATCCCACTCAGGTGTTTTGGCATTGGAGCTGCCGGAGCAGTCGCACCAGATTAAGACTGGCCATTGCATGTAGCATTGGTGAAGAAGAGCAGTTGGTCTTCGTAGAATCCAGTGGAAGAAGTGCACTCCTTCAAGCTTGAGTCCCCATGCCCTTGTCTGGCAGCCAGCCTTTATCCCTTCTTTGCACGAACCGCCTGGGTAGTGGGGCCTTGTTGAAGGTCTACTATCATTAGCCTCTCGGGGTGAATAGATTTGGACCCCTTTGCTTGTCAGGATAGCTTATTAATCTGGCGGGACATTGCATGACTTTGGACATGCTATATTTATGAACAATAAATAGTGAGCAGGTAGGATGTGTGTTGCTTTTGGTTGCACAAGCACTATTCCTATCCTTGTTGGGGTCAAGATGCCCCACCAAAGGGGATTCAGTGCAAGACAGGACAAGGGGCAGCTGATTCCCATCAACCATCTGCCCCCAACCCCCATTCAACAAATGAAGTGTTTGGCAGCCTCAGAAGAGGATAATGCAAGGTTAAAGCAGCAGATCAAGCTGTCCTGGGTGGAAGGAGCTCATAGGCATACAGCCAGTAGGCAGGTTGTTATTTATTTAGAACATTTTTATGCCGCCCCATTCGCAAAAAGCCTCAGGTGGCTTACAAAACAAATAATCATACAATTACCTAAAAAATCCGGAGACATCTTGGCACAGATATAAAATCAATAAATACAATTAACAATTAACATAACGTTTAAATAAAAAGGTCTTGGCCTGGCGCCGAAAAACAAATAGCTGTTAATCAAGCAGTGCTGGATGACCTGCTCCTGTGCCTCCTTTGGATACCCCAGCATCAACTGTTGTGCTTGCTCGGCCAGCACCATCACTTTCTGAAGCTAAGATCCTGGAATTCATACCTGACGTTACACTTCTGCTAAG